CTTCTTCATTTTATTGGCGGTCTGCAAGGTAAGCTGTTTGTTGTTAGCAACTGCCAATAAAAGAAACAGAAGAAGAAGGCTGACGTTCTCATAACCGCAGTGCAAAACATTGCGTAGTGGAGTGGGATTTTTGGAAACAGCGCGTTGGATCTCCGACTTAAGTTGCGGTAATGTCACAAAAAATATTTAAGACCTCTCGAATCAGAATTTAAGGCTTTTTAATACTTTTAAGGCCTTTTATTGGGAGATCTTTACTTAAGACATTTTAAGACTTTTTAAGGACCCACGGCCACGCTGCCTACCCTGAGGGGAAACATCTGAACCGCAGTGCATCACAAGTCAATAGCTGTTGAATCTCAGTTTGGAACCAGGTTCAGTTTTGTCCCAAAAAACAATAATGACATGACAACTGTTCAATAAACCTAGTAGATGCATCACTGGGTCTGTACAGTGGGAACCTGGACACAATATCAGGACAAAAGCTCATTCTTACTCACTTGAACATAAGGATAAGGTAAGGTAAGGTAGAACTTTACTGATTCCACAGTGGGGAACCTTTATTTGGCCAGGTACAGTATGTTACACACAAGGAATTTGCTTCCGGTACAGAACCGAGGCAGCCATCTGCGGCACCAACTCACACCAATGGCTCTAACCATCGAAGGCAACTTGGGGGTTCAGTGTCTTGCCCAAGGACACCTCGACATGTGGACTGCAGGCACCGTGATTCGAACCTCCAGCCCTCCGGTTGGAAGATCACTACTCTACCCACTGAACCACAGTCGCCCACATCACCATGTTCAGAGCTCAGATGTCAGGCACAGACGCAGCATTTAACCTGCACACCCACATTTCAACGGATGAAAAACCAAGGACAACAGAGGTTTTAATGGCAGATATTGTCAATTCTTTATGTTGCCTCAACCCCCTTGTAAAACATATTTAACAGAAAAAAGCTGAGTGAGTTGTGAAATCATCAAAATACATTGCAGCGCTGCAGTGAGCCCTGCAGATGCAGCTGTTTAAGAACTTTAAACTGGAGGCTGAGTCTTCCTGTTGCAGGTACAGCTGCATTCTATTATTCCAAAATGATCCAATACTAAAAGTTAAACTTCAGCAAAGCAACAAAGCAGCCTCAACTCAGGGTCCACTTGATCTCTCGATCTGGAGCTGCTGACTGTATCACCCAGTCCCTGCCTGTTGCAGCGGAACTGCGATTTGAAGCCTTTCACTTCTCATCCATTTTGAACAGTTTATTTAGGAGCTTGGAAGAGCTGTATTGACTAAAACGCAGGCTTTACTTACTGATGAAGACTGTGTGATACAGTTAAAGGCTCCAGTGGACATTCAGCTGAGACTGTTTTCGCCAGCTGCTGTTTCCAAAAACAAGAATGAAGTCGAGCTCAAATTACACAAAGTAGCCTCTGCAAGCTGAAAGAGGTCAAGTTGTAATAATAATGATAATAGCGAGCGGAGTAAATGTTGATGGACTGTCTCTGCAGAAAGTCTCATCTCTTTAGGTTGGTTTCCACAGAACCCACCATTTTTATAGCTGGTGATGGCCGCTCTGGTCCATTAAGTTCCCGCTGAGCGTTTGCTTCTCGGAGTTTCCGTCTTTTCTCACGTATGCGCAGTCTGAAAGAACCTAAATCAGCTCTGTCCTTTAGCCCCCTCTCTGGACCGTCCAGTCTGACGGCTGTGTCCCCGCCCTCTGCCTCCTCCTCCTCCTCCTCCTCTCTTCCTCCTGTGTCCCGCTCTCTGTCCAGTCAATCCCCCTCCTTCCTCCTTGGTAGTGGATTGAGACCACAAGGGGTCCGAGCGGCCCGGTGTCTGGTTACCCGGCTGGATGCAGTTCTGGAGAGCAGGATCCAGATGGCAGGCAGGTTTCTGCTGACCGTCAGGCTGTCGAGGCCGGCGGCAGGCTCCAGTGGCTCCCACACCTCAACCACGGTGCTATACAACAGTCTGGTGAGCTGGTGGAGCCCCTTCAAGCGCCGCTTCACAATCTCTGCACAGGTAATGGCTCTGGATACGGCTTTACCGGTTGCTGTGAATACTATCTGTTGGCAGAGAGGTCGAGCCGGGGCTTCCTGCTGTCTCTCCACAGTCGTGCCCCCTTCCTCAGGCACAGCTTGTCTCTCCTCCTCAGCTACTCGAGGTTTGGCCTCCATGCGGCTCAGGGCGTAGCGCAGCAGGTTGCGGATCTTGCTGCCATCTTTGACACGGACCTCTGGCGTGTCAGAGTGGAGGTCAGGGAATGGACAGACAGACGGCTGCTCCACTGTCCGAGCCTTACTGTAGTTCTCCATCTGCAGACACACAGGTAGACAGAGTTACAAATAACATCTCTTCTGATATCAAAAATCACAAAATGACAATTTACAATGATAAACCACAGTTCAGACATGATCAGTGCATGAGGCAAAACACTTGACATGTGTACAACAAAACAACATTGGCTTGTTTATTATGATGAATTATTTTTGATTAATTACACAGTTCTAAAGTAGGAGCAGTCAAAAAAAAAAAAAAAAAACATACCGGTAAATGCACACTGATAATAGTGAATTAGTGGGTTTCTATTGTAATACCACCAAGAAACCAACAACAGCAGCCATGTGATCTGAATGACAACATCATGAACATGACCTGTGTGTTTCTTGTGATGTGTCCCTTTAGTTTGTTGTGCAAATGGAAAATGCCGACATAACTTTGTCAGATGTGTAGCACCAAAGAACACGGTGTTGTACTACACTGAAAGTTGACACAAGCAGCCAAGTCATGTTTTGAATTTGTTGATGAGCATCACCGGTTTTTTATTCTCCTATATAAAAGTCCATATGGTACTCTACATGCCATTTCAACCACTGGCAGGTGTTATGACACTGGAGGTCTGTGTGGGTCTGGGTTAATGAATGTTGACATGAGACAGGACACTGCTGCCTCATTTAAAAGTAAGAGTAAATTAAGAGGATTTAATTAGTTTCTATAGATCCCTCTGGTCTGAAATATACGTGTGAAACTTGCACCAACAATTAAACATTAAATTTACCGCAACTCTTTGATGAAACTGCTTTGTACAATTAAACTAAAACTAACTGTGCCGAACTAAAGAACGTGTAGAACTGGAGCAAAAACTGCTTTTTAATGTTCCGTCCTGTGTTTTATCTTAAAGAAAACGTTAAATCTACCGTGTCTTAAAACAAAGATCGGCGCTGTTCGAGAAATTTTGAAGCTCGACAAATGTTAGACTGATAAAAGAGGTGAAAATAAACTTTAATCGTCAGGTTCACTGAATAAATATACCAGACTTATTACAGCTAATGCTGAATAAAACCGACAGAAAACTGAACAGTGCTCATGTTATGCTAGCATAACATCGAGGCTAAACTAGAGGCTAGCAACCTTAGTTCATGTTCACGGAAATGTGCTGAAGGCAGAAACACCATGATAAAATGACTTGTGTGCTACAGTATCGACTAAAGTATTCGAATTAAATTATATTAAGTACATAACCTTACCGAGTTTTTCTTTGTAACTCTACACACGTTAGTCATCCCAAACCACATATTACGTTACCGTATACCGATTTGAAGTGTCGCGAAGTGCAGTGCAGTTGGTCCACACACAAAAATGTCGTTTTTCAGAAAATCTGCGCCCCATGTTTTTTTAGACTGCCACCTATTTGTGTTTGATATGCACTGGAAGCAGTGTCCACTTATAACGAGAACCGTTTACACTGTGCAGATTTTTTGTGATTTTTTAAAATGCTGAAATCACAATATACTAAATTCCAATCATCTCCATTAAAGACAGTTCTCACTGGCCCTGTGAGGGTTAAAAAAACACAGCATTAACTGTACCCAGTAACATTTAGTTTAATGATTTTGAACAAGGGTGGACTGGACCCAGCTGTCAGAGCAGCACATTAACGAACAGGAATCACGCTATTACACAGAGAAATGCTCTGATGTCCACATACTTTTGGCCATGCAGTGATCCTGATGTCTCTACCTGTATCTCTGAGCCCACAATGCTGGCATCTTTAGCAGCACATTTATTAAACAGCACTGACAGCGACAAACGCAGCGTCCATCTCTCGTGCTACTGTTTCTTCTTCACCACGTGAGCACAGTCATATTTGCCCCTGACCACAGTGAGTTTGACTCCGGGCAGGTCCTGTGTCTTCCCGCCCTGCACCAACACCACGTGATGCTCCTGCAGGTTGTGTCCCTCCCCAGGAATGAACACCACCGCCTCCTTCCCGTTAGACAGCCGCACCCGAGCGCACTTTCTGTTCGCAGAGTTAGGCTTCTTGGGCTTTCGGATCATGGTCTTCAGGATCACCGCCTTCAGTTGGGGGCGGCCAAACGTGGCTCCAACAAGTTTAGGAGGTGGTTTGGGCTTCCCCTTACGATGCATCTGGTTGAGGGTGGCCATTGTCCTGGAGAGGAGGGGGCCCATCCAGTCAGAGGCATGCTGGGAGGCTGGAAAGACAGAGATGTCAGAGATTTGAATAAATAAAGCTGCATTAAAAAAAGTGCTCTGTGTCCTGTTAGATGTGTTGTTTGGTGCAGGAGCATGGTGAATTCTGTTCCAAAAGTTTGCTACAGCCCAAAGCTTCCTCCACACATGACTGGTGTTTCCTCTAACTGGTACTGTTATTAGTACTTGCTATTTGAATATACATGTTTTCACCTTTCCAAAGAAACGAGGCACATCTGTTCACTGTTCACTCACTGCACTTCACTTTTGTTGTATCTGTCTTTTAAAATATGGCTTTTTCTTTTTGTGTCTTACTGTGTAAAGCGCTGAAGAAACAAAGCTGTATCAGCTGTGACCCGTGCAACAGCTACAGGAAAAATACAACAAAGTCTGCAATCATTTAAATTAAAAATCTATGTAATATTGCACACATATACACATGCAATATTCATATACTGTACTTGCACATGAAACAGGCCATAAAGTAATGGTACAGTGGTCGTTTGTAATACTGGAATGCCGCTGTGACTCTTGTGTGTAAACTGACCCTGAAGCAGTGATGCCAGTGCTGGTCTGAGGCTCCACAGTGACGACATTCCTGAAACAGAGCAGAGATGATTATTTTATCACTACTGTTCTGTGTGTGCAGAGCTTTCCAACAACTGTGAGGTGCTGCAGCTGATGCTTTTCTTTATCAGACATGAGGATCAGCTGAGTCTCTTTGGATCTGCTGGTTGGACACAACAAGACGTGTGATGGTCAAGGTCAAAGTGTTTGTCATATGCACAGATAAGAAACGTGTTTCCCTGTACAATGAAATTCTTACTTTGCCGTCCACATGAATGCCACATAATACAAGCAAAATACAGTAGATGAGCAATAACACAAATCTAAATAGGCAGTAAAACTACAAATCTAAGGCACTTTAAAGCAGCAAATGAAAGGAGCAAATAAAAATACAAGAAAACAATATAATGCAGAGAGAATATATACTATGTGGGAGCCATGGAGTGTAAATACTCAGCAGTGAGTGTGCAATTATGCATATGCAAAATGAGTATGTAAACAGTACAGATGGAATTACATGAGGTAGATCCTGAGTCTGCTGTTTAGGAGTCTGATGGCAGTTGGAAAGAAAGAGTTTTTCAGTCTAGAGGTCCTGCATTTCACACTTCTGAGCCTCCGACCGGAGGGCAGGGGTATAAACAGTCCGTGCTGGGGGTGGGTGGGGTCCTTGAGGATGGAGGCAGCTTTCCTACACACCCTGTGGTGGTAAATACTCTGCAGAGAGGGCAGTGGAGTCCTGGTGGTCTTCTCCACAGTCTTTACCACTCTCTGCAGGCACTTGTGCTC